ATTTGATAGGCATCTCCGAGGCCTGCTGGTGCCACAACAGTAGACCTTAGCTCAGCTGGGAATTAACTTTTTGCTTCAGCCTTGCTCCTCCACGCCTGGCTGACTGTTGTCCTTTCTCCTCTGGAATAATTATGGTGGCTGAAAATAAATGTGTGGGACAACTTGTGCCAGCTTCCACAATTTAACAGCACATGGACATTTGTGTGAAAGTGTGAGCCAGGATGTTTGTGTTCATTCTCCTAATTCTCTCAACAAAATGGTTTTATAAATAATCAGGCCTTAATTGTGTGATTCCAGTTAATGCAGAGGAAGTTAATTAACATCTGGAACAAGTTTCCTGGCCCAAGCTATTAGCTGTGTCTGGTGCAGAATTCAAACAACGTACGAAGTGGGGCCTATAGCCAAATGACTTTGTACATAGCTGAAATGAGAAATGACCCAAGATGGATGAGGTATGGCAGCTGCACCAAAATAATGTCTCTTTTTGGTAAACAAGTGTAGACTAAGTCAAGGCATGATTGTTGTGCTGGTCCAAGAGGTGCACTGTGACAGCAAAGAACAGGCATCCCCTCTCAATCTAGCCCCTCTTCAAACCCTCCAGCTCTTCCTGCTTGTCTCCGAAAGCCTCATCAATCAGTGATTCCAGAGACTTTCACAGCTGGGGGAGGAACAATCCCACCAACATAAAGGACAGGTCTCTTGTGCAACCTCGCACATCCCTACTGTGTTTTACCCCATCTATCTGGAAAGTCAAAGAGGAGGATTTGATTTCGTGCCACTGAGGAGGAGAAGAATACCAAATCAAACCCTGAAAACCCTTCTTTTCCTATTTTTCACTACCAGAAATTCATCTCCAGAAATGGATTTTCACATATGCCTTGTAAATCTCCATATCTACCTAGGGCAGGGATAATTAGTCTGAGCTAGTTTATATAGCTCTTATTTACCACCTCTAATGTGATGAATTGTTATTGAAGGTTTCTTATCCACGTTCCTGCTTCAGTAGAAACCTGTGCTGTTTTATGCATGAGTTTTACACTGCTGCAGCTAAAAGGCGCGCAGATGACGAATGCCTCTCCAAATAATCCCCTAGCTAGGAAATATAAACAATTCTCACTAAGCTCCAGCAGAAAACCACAAACTGTGGTGCAAATTGTATTTCCATGAAGTTCTACGTAAGAACACAAAAGAGAAGCAGAAAAGAAAGCAATTCAACCAATGGACGTGGGTGGAGCAGAGAGCAATTTAGGATGAAATTGCTGGTGGACAGTGTGGCAAGACTCATCGGTTTCCTAGAAATGAGGGTCAATGAGTTGAATGTCAGAAGATCCTGTATGTGGGCTATCAGGTGCCATCACAGCCAAATACCCAGACAAGGCTAGGGAACTCTTCTCCTTAACCCATATCAGAGCAACTGGGAGAGTAAGTACCACCACCTTCATTTCCCCATCCTCTTTGTCTGGAAGAGCTACAGAACTTGTACTAAAAAGAATGCAGTTTACTGGTGGTATGGACTACTGCTGGGTGATCCAAAGCCTGCTGAAAGCCACCTCTTGTTTCCACTGATTTAAACCAAAAGAGGGTAGATTTAGATTGAATATAAGGAAGACATTCTTTACTGTGAGGGTGGTGAGACACTGGAACAGGTTGTCCAGAAGTTGTGGATGCCCCATCACTGGAAATGTTCACAGTTAGGTTGGATGGAGCTTTGAGCAACCTGATCTAGTGAAAGATGTCCCTGCCCATGGTGAGGACGGTTGGACTAGATGATCTTTAAAAGATCCCCTCCAACCCAAATAATTCTATGATAAATTCAAAAGGTTTGGGATAAAGTCCTAAAATGCAACCAGCTCTGGCTCTGAAGTCAATGAGGGAGCAGGAGAAACCATGCTGCTGGGAAACACCAGTCTGCACCAGTGAGAGGACTGGGATGTCAGCATGCAGTCCTACACACTGAGGTACCCACTGTTATTGCAAGGAGCTATAATGATCAGTAATTCAGGCCTGACTGGATTTATGACCAGCCTGAATTTCATGTACAATTTTCATAATTTGTGTCATAATTACAAAAATTGCAAAGAACTTTTTAATATCAATGTTAAAAAATAGGCAAATCTTTCACAGCATTTTTATTGCCTATTTACAATCTCAAATCAAATGGTTTACAACTTCATGTTCTGAAAATATACAATGTAAGAAAACACTAGCCTGGCAAAATTATGCTTTTATGATAATGACAAGGATGAGTTATAGTTACTCTAGTTAAACTATAATGGCTGCACAGATGCTAGGAAAAAGCTATCGTACAACATGTTTTGCCACCATAAGCACGGCACCTGCTACCTCCCCCACGGTACATATAAGAGCATGTTAGCATTTCTTTATGAATATTATTTTCAAGGATTGTAACTGGACCATAAACATTCACTTGGGGATAAAATATCAGTATGCAGGCTTTAAAAAATACCTTGAGAAATACTCAGCCGGTTTTGCGTATCTGGATTTCAGAAGCAAGTTTACGAGAGATAATATATAACTTGCTTCTGATCTTGCAGGGCTCAAAAATAGTCTGTGTTCTTCTTATGGTCTGCATGAATTTGCAGCAGGTGAATTTAATGATATTTACAGAGCCAGAAATTAAATCCTCCAGCCCACTGCTGGCTATCAGGAAATAATAATGATTATTCACAGATTATGTGTTACCCAAATGGCAACGGCAGGTTGATCCTACGCATCTTGCCAAGCTGCCCTTGCACCCGCCCCTGGTGCCACTCACTTTGGAGACGCTGCTCAAGGACACCAGCGCTGGTTGTTATGACCATTTGCTGAGTTTAGTCTCACAAACCAGCTGCTGAGATGGAAATTTCATGCAAGTGTTGTTTTCCGCTGAAATGGGTGAGGAATGCGGTGGCCGTGAGCTCTTGCGCAGAGACTAGAGGTGATGACCAGGTAACGCGCGTTATAGACGCGCTAGGCATGGGCGAGCTGGTTGCACCTGCCACAGAAAGAAAATACAGGAACTGAGGTAAATAACATTACTAAATGTAGGACGCTACAATCGCTTGCTGTAACTCCCATTACAGAAAACTTTACCTATTGTATACTGTCAGTAAATATGTGAGGATTTTGGTCAAAATGTAGTGTCTGACTTTCTTAGCAAGGCAATTTGCATAAATAGAGTATGAAGAACTAAAAAAAGGGTGCTAACAGGTTGTGTAAAATCAGAGTCAACTACCCCAGCTCTGCTTTTGAAAAATGGTTCTAAATCGGAAGCAAGACTGTTTGAATTACTGGAATTTCAGTGAGGTAAAACGCCTCCGAAGAGAAGAACCACTGCTAAAAATCAAAGCAGATATTTACTCGTGTCTCAAGGATCACAGTTTTTAGTGAGGGAAAACCTTCCCCAGTCTGTGGCCCAACTTCTTCTTTACTTTAAACCTCAGTCCAGCTGGACCGAGTATGAATGAAGATCAGACATCATATATTTCATTCTCCACCACTGAATCTGCCTCTATCTCACTCACAACTAAAGCCCTGCTGACGCCTTAGGCAGCAGTAGCTGACCCTTTGTATTAAGACCTCCTCCGCAGTGGAAGCCTCATGCATATGCCTAGTGATGTATTTTAGAGTGGAGATAATTTTTTGTTTTGGGTATCTATCTGACCTGGCTTCAGAAACACCTCTTCTATCTATTTTTTCATTACGTGTATTTTCCCCTACTCCCTGCTAAAATGTATTGTTATATTCGGCAGAAAAAGCTTTCTTATGTCCATCTTTGTCAAAACTCTAGGAGCCACTTAAGCGTCACTTTAAAGGGCTCTTTATCACTGAGATGAATTTTCCCCTAATTGCATCCTTTAACTCCAAAGGGGGTTCGGAGACATACTTTGTATGAAAGATGCTATAGAAAACAAAAGTTGCATTGCAAGTGGCTCTGCTTTTATATTTCCATCCAGGTAACTCTCTGCGCACCAATTTGCTTTCTGTTTTCCACTACCAATTTCCTCCTGGGGCTAGTTCCTGGGACAGAGATGTCTTCAAATAATTTAATTATCATGTGGCATACACCTTTTCAGTCCCCCTGAAATGGTGCGTGATGCCTTTGGTTTACATCACTGGTTGGAAAACACTCCAAAGCATTGAAAAACTATTAAATTGTTACAGTATTGGATGCCAACACACAGGGCTATTAGTCTAATTCATCCTTCAGATCAAAGCCCACACAGGCAGCTCTCCTGCCTACAGCTATTTTCCTTTTACTTTCCTGCTTGACAGTAGTCCCTCACATCCCTCTGTTCTACTTGCTTTGAACATACACATTTTCCTTTAGTCATGGAAATATAATTTATGTCTATTATACTGTATTATAGATTGCAGATCAGGACAAGCGTGCATTACTGCCTGGAACGCCTGTTTATTGTACGTCGGGTTTCTAAAAATAAATAAAGTGAGCCACCCCGCTTCACCGGGAGAGAAAAATAGGAAGGGGAGGACGGGGGGCTGGGGGGAGCGGCACTCTGTTCTCCAAGTTTCATTTCCAAGCAGAGACCTTGCAGCATGATTTATTAAGATCATGCTGTTTGCTTTTGTCACGTTGTGGATGTGGCGGGGGGGGGGGGGGGACCACCCAGCGAGCCGAGCGGAGCTACCGGCGCTGCGCACCCCGCTTCAAAGGTTCACCCCCAATTCACCAGCTCCATCGGTCACCAGCCGCCCGGCTCTGCCGCCCCATCGGAGGCAACAGCAGTAACAGCAATAACGTGTCCCCCCCGCCCCCCAAATAATATCCTGACAGACGAGCTGTCTGGGACGCGAGAATTGCAAAAACAATCCCCACCCCATCATAGAGAGTGTGTGCACGGAGGAGAGGGAGCGTGAGGAGGGGGGAGAGAGGGAACGAGACAGACAGAGGGGAGGGAAGAAGGGAGGAGGGAGTCCAAGCCCTGAGAAACATCACTCCATCTCTCTCACTCCACAGGAGCCGAGCGAGGAGCCGGACGATGTTCGACAACACGCAGTACCCCTACAACTGCTTTAACTACGACGGGGATGATTATCCTACCTGTAGTTCCGATGAGGAGAAAAAATTCACCAGACCAGCGTACAGGTAAGGTGAAGTTTTTCCAAGCCCCCCAGCCCTGGGGAGGTGTCTGAGCTCCGGGATAGCGGGATCACAGCTCTCGGGGGAGCGGGGACCTCTCCCCAGGTGTGCGCAGTGGGGCTGGCCCTGCCAGGCACGGCCGTGGGCACATTTCGCTGCCTCTCTGTGTTTGAAGTGTCCACGATTCGTCTCCTCCTGCGCGGGGTCACAGCAGCTCCGGCGTGCTGTTGAGCCACCAGACCTCTGATGGTCTCCTCTGACCCCCAGGAGCCCGGGGAGAAGGGAAATTAAATGTGTAAGGTGCCAACGGGTGAATCGGGTGCGGATAACCCCCGGTGCCGCGGGAAGATGCGCGGCGCGGACGTTCGCGGGGCGGTGAAGGTCCTCTCCACGAGCAGGCAGGGTCTCCGGTGGCAGTGCCTCTGAGCCTGCCCTGCCTCACTGCAGCCTTCCAGCCCAGAGAAACTTCTCTGGCGGGTTTGAGAGGCGGGTGATCTTCCTCTAACCCCCCGTACCTGAGCACTCTCGGCTGCGTGCCACCAGCGCAGCCAGCCTGGTCAGGGCTCCGGTGCCCGGACGTAACGCCTGCGCACCCCCCGGGAGCCGGGGCAGAGAGGCAGGACCACACTTGGGGCTTATCCCTGGGACGGGTTGGGTCAGGGCACAGATCCGCTGGGAGAACTTTTGGAAGCGGGATATAGGCACGCGTGCCCGTCTGGTCCTAAAAACTGAGTGTGTGAGTGAGGTGATGGTGTAACAGCAAGTTTTCCTTTTTTTCAGCTACATTGCCTTAATTGCAATGGCCATCCAGCAAAGTCCTTCAAATAAAGTCACCCTCTCTGGCATTTATGACTTTATAATGAAGAAATTTCCTTACTACAGATCGAATCAAAGAGCCTGGCAGAACTCCATCAGACATAACTTATCGCTTAACAGTTGTTTTGTAAAGGTAAGGTCAGTAACTGTATGTTTACGTATACACTGTGCATGTCTAAAATAAATATATGCAGGAATAATCTCATCACTAGGAAAGAAGGGAAACAAACAGCTGAGCTGCAAATCACTTAAATCTGAGTTGTCAATTATAGAGATAAAGAGTATGTCCTTGTCTGATGCCTGCTCCTAGATAACAAACTGAGGAGGATGCAGTTTACATCCTATTCGTACAATGAAAGAGAATAGGCTTAAAAGTCTTGTCATATGTGTTTACACCATTCTTGAATGTAAATGAATGCAGATGTTCAGCAGCAGCATCTGTACCACACACAAATACTGAACTGCCTTTAAATAAATACAGGTTCCCAGAACAGAAGGGAATGAGAAGGGGAAAGGAAACTATTGGAGCTTTGCAACGGGATGCGAATCCATGCTGGATCTCTTTGAAAATGGGAATTACAGGCGAAGGCGGCGGAGGAGGAACGTGAAAAGGGAACATAAGGAGCAGAGACTAAGCAGAGGGAAGAGTCCTTCATCCCCCGATGTGTCTTCTATGGACTCTGCTTTACACAACATTTCCCCTTCTGAAAGAAAACACGAAAGAATTGAATCAGGACCAAGACTACTGGAGCCTCGTGGGTTTGCTCCAAACAGCATGACCAACAGACAGAGCCTAAGCAATTCCTCCTTAGCAAAATCGGATTCTGAAATAAAGTTCAGCATCGATTACATTCTTTCAGCCCCCGACCCTCTGCCTGTCCTGAGATCTCAGTATAATATGCAAGAAAATAAATATCATCTACTGGAGGCCCAGCAAATTAATCTCCAGCTCTGGACAATGTGATGTTATTTATCCGTGGTAACAAAGTCTGAGTTGCTGTCTATTCAGCAGCCTCACGTCACTGAAAATCAGCCTCCGCCTCCTTGTTTTCTCCCCGAGCAACACGCAGAAGGGGTTACCGATCCCCCAGCTGACACTCTGTCTGCACCCAAAGAACTTCGCTAAGGTTAAAGCATAAATAACAGTTACCAAGATCAGTTTTCACTCTGCCGAAATTAATGAAATTCTAACTTCGTTTTCTAAACTGTCGTGGACATCATTTAACACCACAAAGAATTTCCTTTCTCAAGCAGAGAAAAGAGACTTGCTCATCACCCGTTGCTTTATTAAAGACAAAGTGAATTTGAGTCCACTTTCACTGGTGGAAATTAGGGTTAATTCCACTGAAGTATATAGGTCAGAACTTAAGCTGATCTAAAACAGTGTAATTCTGGCGATTTACACCGGCTGAGAATGTAGCGGGGCGGGAGGGGGGCTTTGATTTCTTAAAAGGAATCACAGAAAATCACTCTGTCTTCCCTTATTCTTTCTTTTAGGATCATGTTTCAAACTGTTGTGCAGCTTTAATTCATCATTAATTAGAAAATGTAGTAATTAATAAGTGTTTAAAGTATATTTTTATTGATATTCAGGGTAGAGTTGTTTAAACTGTTGAAGTGAAGTTGTATTCAAAATAATTCCAAGAAGGGTAATTGCAAAGCTGTTGAACTCTGGTAGACTTTGAGGGGTAATGTGACAGAGCCACGGGGCCTCTTTATGCCTTGGTTTTAAAAAAACCCAAACCTCTCCCCAGGTACTATCAGAAAGCTTCCTGAGATGCTGCGGGAAAGTCCTTGAGCATATTCCATTTAGCGAGTGTGGAGGGAGGCACAGCTTTGCAAGAAGCTGTATCAGTGTTGACCAAAGCCAGAATTCCACCCACCTGCTTTGAGACAAGTTCTATATTCCTATTAAACAGCTTTTCATTGATCCTTCTTGCAAGCAATTACCAAAGTGGTGCTTGATACGATTTCAGCAAAGCTGGTGAGATTTATAAAAAATTTACAGATAGCAATGTTAGATCATGAGCTCCGTTTCTACGGAAAGCCGTTTCATTACCATTTACATGCAGGGGGGTATTTCAGGACGGAACCTGATGGACAATGATGAACCGTAACGAGCGTTTAAGAACTTGCTTTTATACAACTTGTTCGTGATGAATTGCTTCCCAGTACTTAACGGCAGCATTAGTAAAGACTCCACAAAATCTTGGTTTTGGCTTGGCTACTACAGTCTTCACCTACTGCAGATAAAAGAAAAAAAGACAAGGATTCTGGTGGTTTTAAGCAATTATATACAGAGATATAAAATTATCTTTGCAACATGAACCGAAGGTAAATGAAGGTATACGAGATAAGATTAAGCAAAATTGTGCTAGAGGTATGCTCAGGCATGACTTGAATTTTTATGCAGAAGCTTTGACATTTCACTAAGTTATTTTACATTGTGTTTAATATATACTGTACATTTATACTATATATTCTTATATATTGTTATTGAGAAAGGGAGCAATATCACTGCACTTATATGTTGTAAAAATGCATGATATATGTTGGCATGATGCTGAAACTCCTGCCATATACTTAAAATTTACCAGCAGTGCTATTTCACACTGATTGGTAATAAATGCTCATTTTTTAAAAAACTATAAAACTTGCTATCTTCAGGCATTTCCATAGCATGCAAAAGTCTTTGCTTCTTCTTCGGAAAAGACAAAATGGAAAATCGTGCCAGTTACATCACTGCATGTCTTCCACACTTGGAAGGGATGATTTGTTGTGACCAAATTCTGCCTTCAAATGGGAGCTTTCAATTCTCTGTGAATCAATGGTTATTCTGGGTGATTACCTGAAAGCAAAATTTGACTCATCAGACCTGATTGATCTGCTGTTTACATTGACATTACAAAAAGAAGAAAACCTCTGGGGTCACTGGGCAGATGGATTCTCGTTTGAAGAGGGATGAGAATTTGCTCCTTTAGTATTTATGCTCAGTAGTAAATAGGTGTGGGAAGAGCATGTCCTCCTGTAGTACGTCAGTGTATGCATGCGCTCACACGTGTGTTGGTACGTGTGCACCTCTAGGATCCTATCTACAGTTATATAGTCATGCTTTATATGCAGATTTTTTTCTTGATTGTTTTAAACATGGCAATGCTGCTGCTAGGCTGATGGTTATAGTAGACACCTGCCATATATTTGAAATATATATTTTTTGCTGTGAAATGTGTGAATATGATCCTTCCTATGTGTTCTTCGTTAATGCTGTGAGGAAGAGGTAACTCAATGACAGCAAAAGTTCGGGCTAAGCGTACACCTTACCCAGGTGAATACAGTGGGCTGCTGAGACCGAGGGAGATACAGTTATGGCAATATTGGATAAATATTAGGAAAAGCAGAAATACACCAGGGTGGATTTACAGCAGGGATCTAAAACCGTTTTCAGTAAGTTGAATTAATATTCACAAACAGCCATGTCCTTTGCTCACAGTAAAGTGCCTGCTAGGAGAGACTGTCATACTTGAGCTTCCCTAACATATAATCAAAGAAATTTGTGTACAAATAGGTGTTAACATTTGTTTTGCAAAGGATATCAATCATATTTCAAAAAATGAAGGGACATATTTCAATTTACCCAGTATATTATATTCTGACGACTCCAGAAAGGTTTCCAGCACTTAAAGTGAATGGCATTTAATATAGAACAACATAACAGGGGTGAGGGCTAGACGTGACCTTATTCAAATGTCGTAGCCATTACAAAGCCATTCCCAATGTAATTATAATTAAATACTTTATGCCTTTCTTGCAAATCCTCTGATCGATCATTGATATTAACATTAATATTGTATTACCCCCGAGCAAATGTCTCCCACACAAGTGTTATGGATCACCAGGTTTCCATTAACAAAGTTGTGAGCTATCGCCGTATGCTGGCCGTGGATAAATTTACGTAAATTACCTTTTCTCAGGGAAGGGGGGAAAAAGTCTAGGCTTTTTTCTTTTTATCCCTGCACTCTGAGTCTAGAGCTATTTCTTCAGCTCCATCACAGCCTGTCAGCCACTTACATAAAGCCGTAACCAAAGAAAAAAGCAAAACTCGCAGGAACATCCCTCTTTGCCCTGTGCTGAAGCAGGTGCGTATTCTCCAGACGTAGCTGGTTCGGTTCCTGGGCGGAAAGCTGGGCTGAAGCCAGGGCTGCGCGGTGCAGGGCACTGACCCCACCAAGGCCATCAACGGGCTGCTTGGGCTGAGCCCAGCAGCCACAGTGAGAACAGGTACTGGTGTTCGGCTCAATTCCTCACCTCGAGGGGTCTTCCCGGCTGCAAAGAGAAGACCCAGAATGAGCCGTGGATCTCCTCACCCCAAAAGAGGTGCTTCCCTTGGGGCCTGACACTGCCTGCCCCAAGCCCGGGATGAAGCAGGAGGCGGGCGTGGGAGAGCAGCTCCTCCCTGCCAGGCTGGTGGGCAAGGCGGGGGGAGAACAGGCCTTTTGTCCTCTCCTTTTAGGATCATAAATACCTTTGCAAAGGAAAGATGAAAGGTTTCTTTCTGGGGCGAAGCTAGGCTCGGCTTCATTGAGGGACCCTGGGGTGTTTTGTGTATTTATCCTTTTAAAGGAAGGCTTCTGTGATAAACCAAAGATTTTGATGGCGCTACGCCAGGTTATTCTGCAGCAATTTGACTTCTAACGATGTAATTTCTTAGGCTTTTGTCGTTGGTGTCATAGAAGTGTTTTTTGCACAGCAAGATGATGCTCTGCCTCAGAATGAAATTCAAAGTACTTGGGCAAGGATGCAGCACTTTTTTTCTCCACCACCCATGAAGAGAGGCTGGATAACACCCAATGCAGGCCAGTGGCTGACCTCACCTACGGGGACCCCTCCCTCAGCCGATCCTCCTCCTCATTATGGGAGCAGTAATGCAAATTACGATAGCTGAAAACAAACATTTTCTTTATCAGTAATGCCAAGTTTTTTGCCAAATTTTTCTGCCAATCAGATAATCTTATTAGTTGAGACCCATTAACTCCCCATATAAACAGAAGCTGTGTTCAAGGAGCATTGGAAGGTCAAGCCACGCTGGAGAGCCGGCTCTCCCCATGCCTTTGCTTTGTTGTGCTCCGTCTAGTCGCTTGTGCTGCCACAACCTTTCTCAGCCACACGGCAGGTTGGTCCTCAGCTACCTTGCAGAGCAATCTGCATGCTCCCTTGAAGTTGAATTGAGATTTTTGCACCATTTTCTAGTCACAGAGGGTTTTTCCTTTTGGGTAGCAATTGCCTGTTCGGATCCAAATCTTGTGTGTCCCCTCCACTCTCTACCAATAGAGGAGACACACCAGGAGGGAAAGGGGTTTGGAGGGACAAGCCTTGGGGAAAAAGCTCTGCTACATGTCTTCCAGTAGCACAGAGCTGGTTGGGACTCTGCAAATGGTACAGTGCAAGGGCCCTTGGGGTTGTGTATCAAGTCTCTGTACCGTAAATCAAGGGCAGCATCTCCCCAGTGTCCCACCACACCCACGTTCAGGCAAAAGAGGGAACCCAGCCCACATGCCCCTAAACAAACAGGGCTTTAAATCTTCACCTTTGGCAGCGTAACACAAACCCCTGTCCATGATCAGCACTTCAGATCCCAAACATAAGACGTGGAAATCCTATGCTGGTCATTCCAGCTGGCCTCTCCCCTCTCTGTCTCCTCTGGCACCCATTCTTCCCCATGCTGTGCGGGTGTAAATCCTTGCAAGTCCATTAAGTTTGGTAAAATTACTTTTGGAATTGAAATAGCATGAGTGAAACTGACTTTTGCATATTATACCCAACATCTCTACTCACAGTCTGCCAAATTGTGCCAGCAACTCAGCTCCTAGGTAGAATTCTTAGAGCAGCAAACAGTCCTGCCTCTTTATTTTGGCTTGGCATCCATCTTCTAATTGCCTTCTCCAGAACATGGGTACCACATGCACT